CAGGAGGCAGAACCACTGAGCTAAATCCCTGGCCACAATAATTTTCTTTGCATTTCAGACGATGCAAAGAAAAATAACATAAGACTGAATAAGACATTTCCTTAAAACCCAAAATAAAAACCAAAGAGTTGACTTAAAGAAAGCACATTTCCTACTTGACAGTGGGTCAGTGACATCACCTGAGTGTCCCACAAGATGAGAGAGAGGCCAAAAGTGACCAGGAGTCAGATCTGCCCTCAGGGAACATATGCTCTCAGGGGTGAGCTGGCTCTTGGGCACAAGAGTTCTAAACACTTTAGAATAGAAAGGCCAAAAGAATCTTCAAAATTGCAGCCACCTAGGGAACCTGTCATATTAATAGGATACTGTACTTACTTTCTCCATCAGCAATTGCAAAACAAATTAGCTAAAATTAGAGAGAGCACTGCAGTGTTGGGAATCTCTTGCAGATGCTTACACAGCACTTTCTGTTTAACCCAGGCCCCAGGAAGACACCCAGACACATCCACGCAGATTCCCCTGAGCTTAATACCTTCATTAATAAGCAAGCAGTAAGACCAGGGCTTTCCACATGTTACAACAATGACAATGCTCACAGAGATACTTATAAGACTATAGGAAGAAAAGAAGGAGATATATTTTATATATATATATATGTCAGCCTGTCCCTAAAAAACAGATTATGCAGTCTGTGGATTTAAACTTTAAACCTTGAACCTTGGACCTTGGACCACTAGTTCCTACCCCAAGTTCAAACCCCAAATCTCTCAAACTATTCATATTCTAACCTAGGAAAACAGGTTAATGAAAATAAAGGTCTTATATTTAGAACCAAAGTTGTATCACCTCACACAGAACACTGCTTATGTTGATAAATTGAGACCAGCAGTTATGTGTCAAGGATTATTTAGATGGGAAATCAAATAAACTGTCAATAAACATACTTTACTCAGAGTTACAATTATTTAAAACATGTCTTCAGAAGGAGAAACAACTTAGAGTATTCAATTTCAAAATGTTTGAAAACTTAATATGCTTACAAAAATCAGGAATACTTTTTTTCTTCTTTGATTTGATGTCTCACTATACTACCCAGGTTAACCTTGAATTTCTGTGCTTAAGTGATCCTCCAACCTCAGAATAAAAATGTGCTTTTAGAATGTGAAAATTTTACCTACTATAAATGCAATTTAATCTTATAGATTAATTCAACAGAGCACAGTGGTACAACACCTACCTAGCCAAAACGAGGCCCTGAGTTTGAATCCCAGCAGCAAAACAAATACATCCAACAAATAGAAATGACAGGAACCAAAACAAATACTGCAAGTCTTTTTTATAAATGAAAGTGTTTGTTAAGCAAGCATATATTTTAAAAACTAGACTTTACCTTAGTCTGTAGCAGACCAAGTCCACAAGCGTATGTTCTAGAAATGACCCAAGATACAAGACAGAGGTTAAAAAGAAAGAAAAAAGAAAAAGATACATGCTATTGAGCTTTTTGCAAACTTAAAACACCCCTTTTTTGTCACCCTCCCACTACCACCCCTCTCTCTCTGAAACAAGCCATGGAAGAGCTCAGAAACAGAGAGAAGTACCACGGTCAGAGCTGCAGATACCAAAACCAGACGGTGTGATGTAGTTCCAAGCTCTGACACTCAACAGCTCTGTAACTTTAGGCGACTTCTCTATATCAGTTTCTGCATCAGTTAATAGAGAGGAAGAGCCTGACCATTTTTACAAGCACAGTGCGATGCTAGTCATTAGTATCACTGTTGGTGGTAGCCTTGTAAAAGCTCTCTCTGCCAATGCCTCTGGCCCATGTCTCACACTCTCTCCTCCAGCACATGCTCTTCTCATAATCTATTCCTTCTCTGCTTTAGTGCATCTTCTTTCCTGTCTTGGGGCATTTAAGGCTCATGTACAAGTCACAAACACCAGAGGCCTGGGACAGGACCTCCTGACCAAAGAGCTCCTGATAACTAAGAAAAGAAAGATTCTCACAAATGGGTTCCTTGGAAACCAATTGCCAGTGAAAATCCTGATTCCTCAGAAGGTTAATTCCCTGTACTGTCCAAGGGAGTAGAGGTTTCTCCTATGAATTATCTGTTTGAGCAACCCCTGAAAACACACACACACTCAGGAACACAAAGGAAACCTACAATCAGTTCAAGACCTGTTTTGAATGTTAAAGGAACTGACTGATGCTTGGGCCAACAACTGACTGGTCCATTTCTCTCCTGCTGGATGGGCTTCCCTAACACCTTAAAGATGTACACTGTATACTGATCATATTCAGGACTCTTTATTTTTAGTGGAAACTGAATCCAGGATCTTCACACTGAGCTACATCTTCAACCCTTTTTTTATTTTTTATTTTTGAGACTAAGCCTCACTTAGTCATTAAGTTGCCCAGGCTGGGCTCAAACTTGCAACCCTCCTGCCTCAGCCTCCCAGAGTCAGGACTCTTTCTTTAAGATCATGAGGCCTCAAAGCTGAGAAGGATTTTATAAGTCATCTAGACCAAAGGTCACAAATACCCAGAATACCAACCAAGTCACAAGTCACAAAGGCACTGGCCACCAGGGATTGCCATAGGGCTCCAGCTGCCTTTGCAAGGTTGAGACTCCCAGGAGTTCTGAGTGCTTAAGAGAAGCTGGAAACTCAGATTTTATGTGCAAGCCAAGCAAAACATACTTGTGGACCAGATGTGGCCCAAATGCTACCAGTTTACACACTTCAATCCAAAATGAGCAGAGCTTCCTGCCCAGGAGTCCATGCTCTGGAGGTCCACAGAGCTACTGCAGCCACACAGAGCTACACAGCAGCCACTGGATGCAAAGGGGAAGAGAAAGGCTCCATGGGGGCACTATCTGTAGAGTAAATAAACAATGCCTGGCTCGTGTAAGAACTACTTTTTTCTAATGGAAAAGGATGTTACAACACTAACAGAAACAACCTTTACTTCCAGACACTGCTAAATTAATGACTTTGCATTTTCATATTTCTTGAAATTTGGAGATTCCAAAAACAATAATCACATAACACACACAGATTTTATCATCATTACAGAGCATACCCCGTAAAAATATTCATCATCACCACCTCAACCCATCCTGCCAGGCAAATGCTGAGACGGACTGTTCCATGTCTTGTCCAATCTGCAGCTCCCTGCAGAGTCAGGGAGGGAACCAGGCTCCTGATGAACACCCAGGATAAACATAGTCAAAACAAAAATTTAGACCAAGCTTTTCCACCATCATCTAATCAAAGTTTCACAGAAGTTCAGGGGTAGAAGAAGCCTAGAACCCCAGAGCCCAACCCTCGCCCGAACCATCTCTAACACTATACCCCAAATGAGGGGCTCCACACTCTGGTGCATAAGGAACGCCCTACCTTGCAAGGTGATTTGAAAACATAAGCTCTTCCTGTCCCACACCCCTGGTCTCTTGGGCTCACCATTTGCAATCTGTTTCCCCTCTCTACCTTCTTTATAACCTGCTTTCTTCTCCCCATCTCAAAACACACCCTCTATAGTTCCCCTCATTCACTTCTCTCATTCACTTCCATGTCCATCCACAACCAGCTAACTTTATATGAACAAAAGTATACTTGCCTTTGACCCTTCCTTCTAGTCTATGGCCATTGGTTAAGGATAAACTGCCTCAGAATGGAAGGCCAAATTCTTCAGAGTAGTATTAAGTTAGCTTGCACACTAAGTCAAGAACTACTTAGTGTGTTCTGAAGAAAACATGTTCCAAAGAAACAGTGGGTAGTGGTGAAAGGGGTAAATGTCTCTCAAAATTCTCCTGTGTTCAAAGGTGGAGCTTTCAGGAGGTGACTGGATCACTGGGGAACTTTATTCATCAGTGGATTAATTCACTGATAAGTTCATTGCTAAATGTGCTGTCAGGGAGTGGGGGCTGCTGGAGGAGGTGGGTCATGGCGAGGGGGATGCCGCTGGAGGGCATATCTCTCCTTCTGGCTTTTCCTGATCTCTCTCTCTCTCTCCCTCTCTCCCTCTTTCCCTCTCTCCCTCTCTCCCTCTCTCCCTCTCTCCCTCTCTCCCTCTCCCTCTCTCTCTGCTTCTTGGTCACCGTAGGTTAAATAGCTTTCCTCTGCCATGCCCTTCCATCATGCCCATTCTGCCATGGAGCCAGCCTACCAAGGACTGAACCCTCTTAAACCATGAGCCAAAATAAACCTCTCTTTTAAGTTGTGGGTATTGGGTCTTTTGTCCTGGAAACAGGAACATATGCATGTTCCACTCAAGACATTTGCAGCAATGGGAGCTGAGGGAGCCAAATACAGCCATATCAAAGTGCATTGCACAATTCCGAGCACACCATTCACTATGAGCATAACCCTCTGTAGTTGTGCAACAGAGCAGCCCAAGGAGGAGCCCACTGTGCAGGGACATGGAAATCAGACCAGACTATTAGGCAATCAGCCTGTCTTTCAATTATTCTATCAGTTCACAGTGATCAGCCAACTCAGTTTCTCCTGCATGAGTGTGTTTAAAGACCATGTGGCAACTTATCAAACTCAGGATTACCCAGCCCTCCCTAGAAATTGTGAATCTTCAGCTCCAGGGAGGGGCTGAGGAACCTGGGTGTTGTTTAATAACCAGCCTTTTGAGAAACCACAGCAAACAAACCTGAAACTTTAGAGAAGTTACACACTGTGAGGACCAAGATGATGTTCCCAAGGGAGAAATGTTTATATTTTTATAACAAATTTTCCTTCTGCCTCATTCCTTTTGTCTCATAGTTGTTTCTGGAGATCAAGTATAACAATGGCACACACCTATCAGTGGGGCCACTGTCACCAGAACCCCTAACCCTGGTATTCCTTACCATGATTTTTAGGAGCACAAAGACAGACATCACTCACTGTGAAATTAAATAGCTATTCTGACAGCTTGCTAAATTTATAGGCAGCCTTTACCAAGGCATAGGACACCCACCTGCATGTCAACATGGCAACCCTGGGACACATACCTTGTGCTCCTCCTTCATCACCTGCTCAATGAGCTCAGCTTTCACTGGAGGCTTTGAATACTGGCCTGAGAGAAGGCCGTGTCCTAACTTAGTCCTGGCCAAGAGGGAAACACACACAAAAAAGAGGTTATTTTTGATAGTAAAATTATCTATGAATTCCAACAAGTGCAGCCACTTTGAAGTGAAACATGTTATCTTGATGACTCAAAAATTATTTATTTACTTGACAGTTTACTCTGATTCCATTTTCAAATTTTCCTCAATACTTTACAATTTTCTTAATTTTGTTTTCAGAGCATTTAAAAACTCAGAAAATAAAGCTCAAATAACAAATTGCCTTTAATTCTTCAGCCCAGTGATAACCACTATGAACACTCCATTGGATAATGTTATTTTAAACAATATAACCTGGCACTTACATCTGTGTGTTGAAATCTTGTGTTGGATCTAAAGGCGAGTAGTCAAATATTCTTGGAAGATTTCCTACATACCTAGAAAATGAGAGGTGACAGTTAAAACAGAGTGCGATGGTTAAGCGAGTGTCAACTTGATTGTCTTGGGGTCTGCCCAGAGGATTAGGAAACCACAATTCTGAGTGGGTCATGGTGGTGTCACCTTGAGGTCTGTATCTGGCCCCTTTCTCTCTTGCACTGTTCCCTCGCTCTGTTTCCCAGCCACCATGAACTGAATAGCTTTGTTCCATCTTCCCCTTTCACCATGACATCTCTGCTTTGGAGCCTCCCGATTATGGAGTGAACCCTCTGAAACCGGGAGGCAAATAAACCTCTCCTTTAAATTATGGGTGTCGGGAATTTTTTGCCCTAGCAATGGGAAAGCTAATAGAGGAACTGAGAGAAGAACAGAGATGAAACAATCATTCTCATGAAGATGTTCTTGCCTGTCAAAATCAAGCCATCCACCTAAGGAGAGGCTTTTCCTGAGATCAACCTTCAACTGCCAAACCCATGGGCCGTCTTGAAATGTTAATCCTTCTATCACTGGGTCTCAACACTGGTTGGAAATCAGAATCACTAAAGATTTTCTTCAAAAATTACCAAAGCCAGAGCCACTTGCAGATGTGCCAGTTTCCTAATTTATTATGTTTTTGGACGTAGACTTCTTTTAAAAGTTCCACACATGATTTTAACAGGTCTCCAGAGTTGAGAACACCAGTTTATTCTCTCACAGTCACCACTTTGACTACAAAAAGTAAAGTTAGTGACAACTCTCTCCTTTGACCAAAACTTCAGTCAGGCTCCTCTGAGTACTCTGTCTGGCCAGCCCCAACATGGTCTCCCCTTTCTGTCTGTAGAATCTATTTTGAGTGATCCTGCTGTATCAGTTTAGTGAGAATCCCCATCTTCTCGTCTCACTTGCCCTCAGCAATATTCCTATCAAAATAGTTTAGCCAGATGCCCCGCCTCCTTGATGTTTCCTCTTAGTAATGCTCCATCCAATGCCCTTCACCCTGCTCTTTGGTTATAAAACTCTACTTCTCCTCCCTGGAGTTAGAGTTGCATTCAATCTCTCTAATTCACCAAAGACTTTGGTGCTATAGTCCCTGTACTCATTGTCATGGTCTTCATTGTATAAATCTGTCTCACCATCTTAGCAAGCGCTTGGATAATTTTTTCTTTAAAATTATGAAGTGTCCAATAATCTCAAAATGAATAATAATGTTAGAAACAGTGACAATTACCATTTCTTGAGGGTTTCCTGTAGTAACAAGTAGTCTTCATTACAATCATAAGAGGAAGGGAATGTTATTACCATTATTCCATTTGAGAGATGAGAAATTGGGGTGCAAATTCATTAAGTAGCTTCCAAAGCCCCAAGAAAGGCCCTGCACCACTGGCTCTAACTCACCAGCTGTACCTGCACCCCCTCTCCCTTGAGCAGTACAGAATCCCTCCTTCTGCTGGGTTCATCCTGAGCAAACAGTGCTACTTGAACATCCTAATGCACAATCATTGCTTTCACCACCTTGGTCACTACCTACTTCACACCCTCTACTGTGTGTTCCTCTTTCTCCCTTCAGATTCCAGTTCTCTGACCCTGGGAGTTGTGGAAAGAATGATTCAGAAACAGAGCCCCTTCTCTGGTCCTTCATGCACTCTAATCTGCTTGCTTCTCTGACCTCATCTGCCACCACTCTTCCTCTGCCTACCATGGCCTGGCCATTTGCCCCTCCTGCTGCCCCAGGACACACCAAGCTCACTCGCGCTTCAAGGCCATGCCATCTGCTGTCCCTTCACAGATGCCTGCTTGCTGACTCCTTTTCCGGTCTGCCAGTAGTCACTCGCCTAGACTCAGCCAAAACAAGAGTAGTCACCCCTACCCTTCCTAAACTCTGTATCACCTGTCCCTGGCTGACCCTCTTAGCTTCTTCACATGCATCACTATATATAATTAAGCAATTCATTTCCCTTCTTGTTTATTATCTATCTCTTTAGAGATTTCATACTAGAATGCAACCTCCATGAAGACAGAGGCTTTGTCTACTCAAATCACTGCATCTCCAGCACTAGAACAGCACCTGACATGTAAAACATTCAATGCATAGTTGTTAATGAATACATTCATATCATGTAACCACATAACAAATCCCCCTGACTACCAATAATGAATAGAAAAGGCATTATGATGGTTTGGATGTGCATCCTCTAAAAGCCATGTAGTTTGGTTCCCAGCCTATGGCATTTTCAGGAAGTGGAGAAAACTTTAGGAGGTACAGCCTAGTGTGAGGAAGTTGGAACTTAAGTCACTGGGGTGGACTGTGAAGCCCTGCAAGTTCTCATTCTCTCTGTCTCTCTCCCTCACCCTCTCTCTGGGAGGTTCATGGTCCTTCTCTGCTACAAGTTACCATTATGATGAATTGTGCAACCACAAGTCCAAAACAATAGGTCCAACTGGACAGGAACGAAAACAAAACTGTGAGCCAAACTAAAGCTTTCCTCTTTCTTAAGTTGGTTGTCTTTGGGTACTTTGCCCCAGTGATAGAAAGCTGACTAACAGGCATTCTTGTAAGAAAGTCCTAGCAGAGAACCATGACACACCAGCAGTTAATAACAACCTCCGATTGGATTCCTTAACTACTATAAATATCTAAGTACCTCTGTCCACAAACTCAGAATTTGTATCCCACATTGTACATCTACATCAAAGTTAACAGACCACAAGTCTCTGGGCCAGTCCCATTCAAATGGTTTTTGAATGTGTCACCTGGACAACAAGGTCACAGAGAAATTTTCAAAAGACAGAGAGCCAAACAGATAAGCCAAACTTCAGGGCTGAACTACTTAGATGCACTCGTCATACAGGTGAATTTTTTATAATATACAGCATGATGGACTAGTTCATTAGCTCTTCTATGATCCAATTTTCATTGAATTTCCAACCCTGACTAAACAAAACAAAAAACTCAGTGAGAAGATGCACAACAGTGAAAAGGCTTGTGCTTAATACAAGACTGGTAGAGAAGAGCAGATTATAGAGATAAATCTTTGATGTCAGAAAAGTCCGTTTGGCCAGCAATTTACATTCCTTTTCTAACTGATCAAAAATATCCTCCATTACCACAAAATTAAATTAAAATGCAACAGTATGCCTAAGCAATTTTTAAATGTATATTACACCGTCAGTTTGTAACCAAGTGGCCCTCAACGAAAAAGATGTAATTTGGCTACCTGACAATCCAGCCTACTTCTCATTCAGTTTGCACACGCATCTATCCAAATCTGATCCTCACTGAGCATTTGCACTATGCTGTGCATACAGCATCTTCTCCCTCTGTGAGTCACTCTTCCTACTTACAAAACAGAGATACTGTTCCTGGAACTAACACCTCTGAGCTGGCCTACAGGGGGTAAAAAAGAGTTTGAAAAGCGAGTATTTCAATCTAGGGATATCTGCTCAAAGAATGAAAAGAATGAGGGTGAATGTGAATAGTAAGTTCCTCACAGTCTAACATATATGGTGAATGTTTACAAAACAGAATATAAAAATAAAAATTCAATAATATAATAGAAAATTCTAACACTTTTGAAATAAGAGTAGGAAGAGATTCAAATGTTAAATTCAAACCACAGACATGATATACATTTTTTCATTAAAGAAAAAATTCAGAAAGTTAATTCTTGGTCTAACTGTAGCATATAGGAAGAAAAATATTTAATTATAGATTTGTAAAGCACTAAAAATATTGTTGGACTTTGTAAGAAAAGAACACAAGTTTCTTCCACCTTAGTTTAAAAGGAATAATAATTATACAACACCTGCCAGGACATTCGTTCAACATTTTGAAGGCAAATCTTGGAACATGAGTCATATAAGACAGAGTTACATTATTCCCCAGCCAAATGATAATAATACAAGTATGAGATGTGGGTAAGAATCTAAAAATAATAAGGCACACAGTGCACAGCTTTGAAAAGGGTTTCCCATCTCCAGTTTGAAACTTGCTCTTCCAACACTGCCCAACACCTTCTGCCCCCACTTCTCCCGCACATCTGACAGGGGTGTGTCCTCAAGTGTCCTCACTGACTACCTTCTCATTTTCTTTCATGGAACACACCCATTTATATCCCTGTGGTTGTTCTCATGGATGATTTGTTTAGTGTCTGTTCCTCTGTGTGTTCCCTGAGGTGAGCACCATCCCCTTTGTTTACCACTGACCTGCACACACACCCAGCACACTGTTGGGCAGAACCCAACACACTCTTCCTTGGTGGATGAGAAAATGAAAAACGGATGTGGAACACTGACCATATATTTTCCAAGCCAGAAAACAGCAAAAAGAGGTTAAGTGTTCAAATATGAAGAAATGAAAGGTTACCTGACATACTTTCGATTAACCACTAGTTAAAGATATTAGGGTTTTGATTCCAGGTGAGTATAACACGTAACCCTGTGCTATTCCTAGCCCTCTGCCCGTCGGTCTGTATCACACACTTGAATCATGGTGGAAACCTACCCACTCTGAAACACAGTAGGGAAATGTTTTAAACTTAGGCAGTGGCTGCCCATGAGTGCACGCACCACAGCTCCTGGGCTCTGCAGCTCCCTCCCCTAAGTACAGCTCAGGGCCACGAACATGGCCACTGTGGTGGATGTGGGGAGAGTAAGGCAGCCTTGTACTGCACCACTAGGAAGCACCTTAAATCAGTGCCTCCAAAATGTCTGTGATGCAGGACCAGCTTTGTCCAACTCAGACCAACGGCAGACACCTTTTTAAATGCCATCAAAATAAGTTATTAGAAAAATAAAATGCCACTTGTAAAAAATGGCAAAGCCAAATTGCTACAAAAATTTCTAAGTGCTTACTTTCACTTTCCATGCTTATTTCTTTACAGAACCACATTCAAAAGTGCACAAACTAGTGAAAGACCAGCACTCATCTGTGAACCACAATCACGTGCACGTGCATATGAGTGTGTGTGTGTGTGTGTGTATTTGGTTTGGTTTGGTTTGGTGGTACTGAGGATTGAATCCAGGGCCTTGTGCATGCCAGGGAAGCAGTCTACCACTGAGCTATATTTGCAGCCCTTTTCACTTTTCCTTTTGAGACAGGGTCTTGCTAAGTCACTAAGTTGCCTAGGCTGGGCTCAAGCTTGCAGTCCTCCAGCCTCAGCCTTCTAGAGTACTGGCATTACAGGCATGTACCACCACACTCAACTGCCAGTACCTTTTAATTTTGAGACAAGATCTCTGCAAGTTGCCCACACTGGCCTCAAACTGGTGATCTCCTCGCCTCCCCAGCAGTGAAGATTACAGGCATGTGCCATCATTCCTGGCTGTGAACCACATTTAAGTAGCAAAAAGATGAAAACCCTATATCCCCTAAAAATGCTTTCCTTCCCTAGAGGGGAGACATCAGATATAGAATTCACTGACTCTGCTAGCACAGGGGATTTGGGAAGTCTGCTGTGAAGATTAATGATTAATATAACCTTGGCATGTACAGTGATAGTCTAAAAGCCACAACAACTAACATAACAAACCTTCATAGAGTGTTTTCCAAAACTCTCCCCATAACACCTGATAAGTGTTCCCACCGAGCCTCAGGAAGAGAAGTCACATCGTGGATAAGTGTCGAAACCCCAGGAGGAATGAAGATGAGCTGTTCCCTGGGCACGCCCAGTAGAAGGGAGGCAGAGGGTCAGGAGCGGTGCCTTGGGGCCCCCAGCACTTCGAGGCACTTACGCTCTCTGGAACTCTGGGATGCTGAAGATGGCCTGCATGACAGAGCTGAGATAGCAGCTGTTGCCCAGGTTCTTCAGGCCCGTGTACCCGGGGCCATACATGGGCTTCAGCTTTGTCCCCGACTCCTGGATCACTTCCCACTCACTGACCCTCGGCTTGATGTCATTGTCCCGGAGCCTATTCTCTGTCTGGGGCAAAGTCATCAATGAAAAACAACTTTAAATATGATTTCTGTTCACAGATTATGTCTTACGAATTATTTCTAAAGTCAGTGGATATTTCTAGTATCTCCCCACCCCCAATTACATGGAGAAATACACAGTCTAGACTGTGAGAGATGATGATAATTACACAAAAATGTCAATGCGCTTAATGCCACAGAATTACAAACTTAAAATGGGTTAAATGGCAGATTTTGTTATATATATTCTACCACAATTAAAAAAATGAAAAATATATTTTTTTAAATGGGAAAAGAGAGAAAGATTGAGAAGGAAGAAAATGGAAGGAGAATGAAAAACAGGAACCAAAAAAAGAAATCCAAAGACCAAGGGAAGATGCAAAAAAGGCAAGGAAAAAAAAACCATGGGAACCACCTTCCAAGAGGAAGAAGGCTTAAAGAAACATGAAGAAAAATAAATTAAAAGCCAGGTATAAGTAAAAAAGAGGAAGCAGCAGAAGAACAGGAGAAGAGGGTAGCAGCCTGGGAAGAAAGTGCTACAAGAAAACATGCATATTTAAATAGTACCTCAGAGGGAAAAATACTGCATAGTCATGATATCGACTTAAAAACACAAGATTAGGGGCTGGGGATTTAGCTCAGTGGTTTTGCCGCCTGCTGTGCAAGTGCAAGGACCCGAGTTCGATCCCCAGTACAAAAAAAAAAAAACACAATACTAAATGAAGCAAAGCTTTTCCACCAATAATAATGTGCTGGCTAATTGTTCCATCACCCCAGAAGCTCTGCTTCCCTTCCTGAAATTAATTCAAAATGGTGTTGAGCACAGATCATTTTAAAGGTCATCTTGCTATACCTTCTCCTTTTCGTGAACAAAAAGTGATTCACACAATGGACTATCAAAAGAGACAAATTTTGCAAGTAAACTCTAATACAACAAAAGTGTACCCGATGGGGCACCATTTTTTGTTACAATATTTAAAAGCAAATCTAAGCTGGTAATCAAAAGAAAATGCTAATTAATTAAATTTAAGAAGTACATGCAAAATTAAAACACAAAATCTAAGAAATAAAGATTCATGTTAGAGGAATTATATATTAAGGAAACCACAGCACCCTCGCCCACTCCCTCACCCTTCTCACCCACCCCAAGTGGAATTAGAGAAAAAAAAAAAACCTTCTCACCCCATGCATGTGAAGCATATCAATTCCAAAATGTGCTAAATGCTTGGCCAAGTGAGGATCCAAAACAGGTTCCTCTTCTTGAAAAGAATAAACATCTAGAGGAAGAAAAGAAATAAGCTCTGAGTTCTGTAATCAAGTCATCCAATATTTCAATATGTACTTATTGCATTCTTACTGTGCACCAAGCTCGGAGTATATCAATGAACAAAACAAAAAATTCCTAACATTAAACTAGGAAAAGGACAGGAAATAAACAATAAACATAATAAGTAGGTATAAATTTTGTAAATAGACACACATATCAATTCTATTGACATTGCAAAACATTAAGAAAAAAAATTTTCTGAAACATGGACAAAAAAGAACAGCACCTGAAGTTAAAATAATTGAGATGAACGTAAAGGCCTAATATGTGACTTTTCTAACCAGACCCACAGTGGCATAAGCCTAAGATCAGAAGAGGGAAAGGCCATCTACCATGGTGGGAGATCTATGGGGGACACGGTGAATACAGTGCCCCTGAGTGGCAGATCGCACCAAACAAACTACACCAGTGGAACCCTCCATTCTTAGATCTCCTCCTCCTGATTCACACCCCTTTCTCACATCCCTTCTTTCCTATTTTAGTGTCCACAACTCACAGAATCCATGAAAGGCTTGTGCAAACTGCCTGGTACCACCCCCCCGACATGCCCACCTCATGGCACACACAGCAACAGGGGTGGTGCCCAGAGCTGCAGGGCACCCCAGGCCCTGCTCTCTAGCACACGGAGTTGGAAGCTCTGTTCTGGGGTGGGCAGCCTCGTTCCTCGGGATAATAATAACCCACCTGATAACACGATGCTGGATGCTGAACCTGACTTCCAAAGTGCAGTGCATGGGCCTGAATCTGCAGCGGCCCCTGCGCTCCTTAGAAATCCAGAATCTAAGGCCCCACCCCAGAACCACCAAATCAAAGTCTGGGTTTTACTAAGACCCCCAAGGGCACAGGAAAGTTTTAAAAGCACTGTTTACAATTTTCAAAGCTATGAGATCCCCTGCCTTATCTGTCCTCATCAATGCCACGTGGGAGAGGAACAGGCATTTTCAAACTCATCCTAAAGAGAGGAAAAGATGCTCCTAAAGGTTAAATAATATGTCCTCAAATCCCACCAGTGTCCAAGAACCCAGATACCTGACTCCCTCGACATCAGAATAGTCCTTAAGCTATCTCAGAATGCCAATGATGGAGCACAACATGACCTAGTCCTATTCACAGGAACAGAGATCAAAAACCACAATTTCTTCATTTCTAAATTTGAAAAACAAATCTATTACAAAAAAAATAAATATAAAGGTATCATTATTTAGGACCATAGAAGACAGGCTGCCTATGGAGTTTCTTACTCCTAGAACATCACTAGAAAAGTATATTGTAACTCATGGATACTATGATGACCCTATGCCCTTTACCAAATATGTGCAGACTCACTGCCCCCAAAGGAAGTCAGTCTTTTTATTTTTAATAAATTAAACATTGTACAACTTCCTTTTCTACTCCTCTTCCCCTAAGTGCCCATTTTAACTTACACATAATAGCCTTTGTTTATATTTGTTTTATACTATAATTCAGTATTCTCAAAAGCAAAAAGAAGAGACAAATTCCCCAGCCCAATTAAAAAAAATATTTCCAAAAAGTTTAAATACCGAAAAACCCCTATGAACTAGCAACTTAAAACACATACATCGACAATATTTTTAATCTATGAAGAGGAACAGAAAAATATCACTCAAATTCCAGCTCCAGGGGAAAATGGTGCTCTCTAAGAACTTTCTCTTTGGTTATTATCAACTAATGAGACAGTTTCAAAGACTTAAGACTAAGCTGCTAATTATCAAAGACCTATTAGAAAATAATAAAATTGCTAGAATTACACCATTAGCATTGGCCTAGGATTTTGAAATAAGTGAAAAATCACTCCACCTTCTATGTATCTTAACTCGTTAGGCTCCTGTGACACTGAGAAAATAATACTTCCTACCTGGAGTTACTAAATGTCCGAAGATACAGCTTGATTTGGTAAGACATGATAGCTATTTCTTACTTCAATAAAAATAAGTTTAGTGGATAACGTACAAGAAACCTAAAAATAAACTGTGATGCTTAATTCTGACCATGATGAAGAATTTATAAATGATATGTAGTCATAGAAAAAAACTGTAAGGCTGAAAATACTGCCTTGTATGGTTTTCATTGGGAAATTTGTTTTATTTGCAACTTCAGCTTAGCAAAGTTAGGTCTTAGCTCAGAAACTATCATAGCAAATAAGCACTGCTTGACAAGGATTGCCCTCCACACTCTCCAGCTTGGCCTAAAACTTGGAGCCAAGAATGACAGCTTTGAAGTCCATGGAGGGATCTTCCCAGGAATAGCCCAAGCCCTGTTTCATGAGTAACTACATTCATTTTAGAAATAAACCCATCATAATTTCATCTCAAGTGAAATGACAAACTAAATGACAGAGAGCATGAGCCAGCACTCCAGAGAGAAAAGATGAAAGGAAATTTTTAGAACAGGAATACCCCGCTCATGTGACAAGCATGTTAGAAAAAGAGTATGTGTGATAAGTTCAAACACCAAAGAAGGGAAAAGTTAGGAACAGAGATGGAAACTGAGACTGAGACTGGGAACAAAATTGGACTGTAAGAAATAGTACCAAGTGGTAATAATTTCATATCTCTGAATGGGAAGATTTCTTTTACTTTTATCTTTGCTATTTTTCACAAATTTATGATAATACTGATTGAAAAAATGTTCTACAAGTAACTCCCAAAGATTACAATGATTATCTTGGATGGTATGCTATTAAAACAGGGTGCCACTGGTCAACCTTGCTCAAGCTACTTAGATTAATCACTCATTCATTTATTTATTCATCATATTCAACAAATATTTACTGAACACAAAATATACATGGTTACTGAGGATATAAATCTTAAATAAATGGGCAGGGTCCCTGCCTTCATAAATTTAAATATTACTACTTCAAATAACCTTAGAAGGAATGCTCGATGGGGGGAAAGGATCTCAACTAAAGTCTTCTTGACTAAGACTCAGTCATGTAACCTACAGCTCTTTTCCTAAGCCCCAGAAAACAGCAGAGGTAAAGATGAATCTCACAAGTTCTTGTGTTTATAAAGAGAATCAGGGAAGGTGGCTTTGCTTCCTTGCTCACAACCCAAGTGGAGAGAAGACCAGAACTGCTGATCAAACACCAAGTAAAAACTCAGAGAATAGAGGCTGAGGGAAGGTTCTCTTCAGATAAGTGCTGACCTGTCCACCCAAACCACACCTCTCCATGATAAATTTATATTTATGAGTGTATATTTGTGTGCTGGTGCCATCTGCCACCAGCAGAAAAAGAAGAGAAAGGAGAGACTGCTCCAGCAATTACACTAGAAAAATAGTCACAAAATGAATGAAGTCAAGAGGCATGAAAGATTACATTAAAGGAGTATACTTCCTGGGCCAGACAAAACTCAGACTTACCACCAAGACAGCAAAATTGATAAGAGTAAAAAGATACTGATAAATTTAGAAAAGAAAGAAAAAAGGTGAGTCAGAGGAGCAGATTCTATTGGCACACCTTCCTCTACCTGTTTACTCCACAAATATTTACTAATTATCTACTATGTTCCAGAGGCTAGGCCACATGCTGGAGATATAACACTGGACAACAAACATGGCACTCAGGGCCTGCTGTCCCAGGTGACCACCATTAAGCAAACAGTTGCAGGATCCAGTGAAAGGTGCCATGATGGTACAGCATCAGGTACTACAAACATAGCGGTGGCACAAGCCAGGTCAAAACTAAATTGAAGTAGTCAATGCCTTGATTCCAAACCCTCAGGCTGTGAGAAACTCAAGGGAGTTTATGCCTAGGTCAGGGGTGACTATGACTGAAGTACAAAAAGCAGCTTGAGGTGTTGAAGGGCTGTTAGAGACAATCGGACGGGCCATCTCAGAGCTGCCTTGGGCATACCTGAACAACTCTCCTACCATCACCCATAACACTGAAGCACCTTCTGAGGTAAATAACTAGTTTCCATGAGGGAATGAAATAGATCCTGTCCTGCCTCCATCTCCCTTTACTCCCTTCCCATGGAGAACCTGCTCCTAGTTAGGCCAAAACAGTGTCTTCCTCCTCCCACTGGAAAGCTTTTGTTTGTGTGGTGAGCAGTTTCCTGTTTTGTTTGTTGTTGTACCCATAGGGACCAGAGTGGAATTGGATATGGGGCCCGTTTTTATGACATATGCCACCACCATGACCTAGACTGGGGATCAGGGATTCCTGGGCAAACTAAAATCTCCGTGGAGACCTCAAGGGTAGAAAGTTTCTTGCTGAGCACATACATCCTCCTTCGGGGAGAGGAAACCAGGATGAGCAGATCATACCACCATTAAATACCTGAATCTATAACCTTCTTGGATTCCATATTCACTAAGCAATCTTCTAAATATAATCTGGCTTCCCACAGGGAAGGAATGTACTGGTTGAGCTGACATGACATCCCACTTACCGGCAGTTGTGGTTCTCATTATGACCTAAAAAACAAATGCCGTGACTTTGAGATTTTGTCTCCAGTGAGTTGAATTAGCCTGAAGGGCCACAGAGTGTGGAAGACCAAGCCCTAGGCAGGGGTCCTTCATCAGGACGGGACCCCCGCCCCCACCAGATGGGGGACCCACTTTCCTAAGCTTCCAAGTCCACAGGCTCATCAATAGAAACTTAAGGAAAGTTTATATGTGATTTTACTAATTCATTTGGCATTTAAATAAAGTTATAGCTAACAAACTATTAGATAGATTTAAGGGAAACAAAACAGAATTGATACAAACCATGAACTAATATGAAATGATAATCAGACTGAAAAGTCATTTTTATTAAACCAGCACTACACGACACAAATAGAAATCAAAACCTTATCTTTTTTCAAATTACCATTATTTCAACTAGATGAATTCAAGAACCCTCATGACAGGATATATAATCTGCATTGTTGTTGCCCAGTGTCTTGTATATTCGAGGTATTTTGTTTGTTTGTCCGTTTTTCTTTTCTTTTTTTTTTTTGGTACCGGGGATTGAACTCAGGTCCTTGCACTTGCACAGCAGGTGGCCAAACCACTGAGCTAAATCCCCAGCCCCGAGTGTCTTGTATATTCTATGAATGAAGAACAAGTATAAACTCAAATATTGTCAATTATGTAAGACAAACTTTATTTTTTAATTAAAAATTTTATTGGAATAAAAGATATATTGTCAATAATCCTCCTGAAAATATTGCTTCTTGCTTCAGACACACTTATCCCATCACTCTTGACACTTTGTGAAGGAGTTCTGGAAATTTCTCTTGATTTAGTGTCTTTAATTTTGTTGTTGTGGCTCCCCTGATGTGCTGGATTGATTCAAAACATCTACCTCTCGTGGTAGTTTTGACTTAGGGAAAAAGCCAGAAGTCATGCAGTGCCAGACTCAGTGAGCAAGGTAGATGACGACACATTGTAATGTTTTTATTTGACAGAAGTTGCTGTAAATGTTTAATCAGTGAAGGGTGATCAAAAGATATGGTGCATATTTAAGTAAAAATAAATGTGTGACAATAAAAGACAAATTGCCATTAATTCCCCTCAAAATACTCCCCCTCACTTCAAAAACACTTCTCCCATCGATCTTGGCAATACCTTTTACTGCAAAGATAAGACAAACTTTAAAAGCTCTACCTCCTTAACAACACTCCACACACACAGACACACACACACACACATAAACACATGCATATACACATACTTAACTATGGTAGATAATAGGTTAATGTTTTTAATAACTAAAGAGTTCTTAAAAACTAATGTGAAAAACATCTACACATATGCACCTACTAAAGTATCACCCAAGAAATTTACAAAAAGAACTACAAACGGCCAAGAATGCAATGAAAAATGTTCGGCATCACTAGAAAAGCAAAATGAAACAAGCTACCAGAGCAGCAAAGGTTTTTTTTAAAGTTTTAACATCCAAGTTAGTCAAGGATTTGTTGAAATGGGTACTCTCATATGTTACTGGTGGCAATGTAAATAACAACACTTGTGTAGAAGAGAAACATGCCAATTAAAAGTGGGAGGGGTAGGGGAAAGGAAAGAAGGAAATGGAATTAATATGAGAAAAGGAAAAAATGGAAACAAAGTCTTTGTAAATAGGGAGGGATGGAGGGGTTGAAGGGAGGGCAGGGGGACGGGGAAAAAATAAGAACCAAGAGAGATTATGTAAAGGTACAAATTTCCAATGATGAATCTCATTACATTGTATACCTAAAATATGCCAATAAAATTCTTTTTAATTTAAAGATTTAATCCTTTTTACTTAGAAATCTATCTAAAGAAATAATTAGACACACATCCAAAGACTTGCACATTTATAAAAATGTTCTTCAGAATATCAAACAGAAACTGTAACAACTCAGAAAGGAAGAGTGAAATGATGTAGGGAGCCATGATGGAATATTGAGGAATATTTAATAACATGGAAAAAAAATAAAGAAAGAAAGATAAGAATAAATTTATACAGTGATCCAATTTTTGTGAAAATGTGGAGGTGGGGTTAAGAATTGATTAAGTCCTTAGGGGCCGGGGACTTAGCTCAGTGGTTCTGTCTCCTGCTGCACAAGTGCAAGGACCCGAGCTCCATCCCCGGTATCAAAAAAAAAACAACAAAGAATTGATTAAGTCCTTAGAAAAAGGGAAAAGATTGATACAAAACACCAATGAAAGCAGTGAGTAATCTGGAGGTTTTACTTTTTTATTTTATTTTATTTGTCTAAATCTCTTTCTCTGTATTTTTTTTTGCATATGTTACACTGAACACATGCTTCTTGTATAATCAAAAGAAAAATACAAAATGTTCCTTCTTCACTTTTAAAGAAAAGAAGCTTTAGATTTATCTAAATGGTTTAAAAATAAGCTTCGGGCAAATTAAAGATGCACAGGCAATAGAATGAACCTTTGCTTTCAATATAGATGTATTTAAATAGAACCTAACTATTTAAATGTTTGTGTGCCAGTTGGTTTGTCCAACAAAATTACTTTTTACAAATAAGTGAAGATTTTTGCATGAAATCCAAAGATTAATAAGACATAGCCCTGACTTCAAACAGCTGAAAATATGGAAGAACTAGGCCACATGCACAAATGGTTATACCCTTGGTCCAGTTCTGAGACTTGGATTGTAAATAATGGCCTACAAACTCACTACAAAAGATAGCATAGAAAGTAGGAAAATCTGGATTACAATATTCTCCCCTTGCACTTTTACCAAAGAGAATTCCTACCTTGCAAACCTTTCTGTAACCCCACAGCAGGACAAGGAGGTTTACACAACAGTCACCCAATACCCAGTACGGAAGAACAATGATCTGTAAGCACGTGCTGCAAACAGGGATCCAAATGTGTGTCTGAATTTCCTCTTTAAACCCTGGAAGATTTAAAATGAGACCTGGTTCCTGTATAGGCTCATTTACCTTGGAAGAAAATGCTTGGTACTAGCACCTGGGCATCTTACCGTCACTTTTCTCTAATGAATAAAAATAATTCCATGAAATTGGGAAGCAGGAAAATTCTCCAAATGTGAAACAAAAGAATCCTGACATGACTTTAATTATAGAATGAGTGAGAAACTAAGCCAGCTCACTGGAAAAGCAATGGTTGGTGAGAACTGTCCCATAACTGAATGAAAGGTACGGCCAATTAACTCGGAGGCAAGCTAATTCAGATACAGAAAGATAACCAAGAAGGAGGGAAAAGCACTACCTTACCTTAAAGCAAGGAAAAAAACAGACTAAATAAAGCTGGGAAGATGGAGAAGACTGGGCTGGGTGTCGCCAGATCATCTTTGTTTAATAGATGTTGTCAAGGATGATTAGGTGACAGGATCTTATAGCCACTGCTCAGTATTTAAGTTTCTCATTCTTGACCAGCTATTATTTTCATTTTCCATCACAAAACAGCAGAAGGAATTAACTGTACAAACATGGCCAAGTGCTAGTGTGTTAGAACACACGGCATGAGAGCAAAAGAAACAGACTGGATTCTGCAGCTAACGGCCCAAGTAAGAAATCACTCTTGTCCTTCAAAGCACATGAATTCTATCACTGCCAGGCAGTTTCAGTGCCTGAAATGAATGGTAGGGCTTCTGTCTCCTGTAGTGGATTCAACTATGCACAAGGACTTCAAAAATCCTGTTTCCTGTTGCCCGTGAACTAGCACAAACAATCAACAAGTGGGATCTCTTCTTATTAAAAGGCTTCTGCACAGCAAGAGAAACCACCAGCAGTGTGAAGAGACAACCCACAATGTGGGAAAAAATCTTCACCTGCTCTTCCTCAGACAAAGGTCTACTATCTCGAATCTATAAAGAACTTAAAAAGATCAGACCTCCCAAATTTAAAGACCCAATCTGAAAATGGGCATCTGAAATGAACAGACATTTCTCAGACAAAGAAGTAGAAACAGCAAATAAACACATGAAAAAATGTTCAACATCCCTGGTCATTCAAGAGATGCAAATGAAAACAACGCTGAGATTCCACCTCACTCCAGAAAGAATGGCTGCTATCATGAAATCAACCAATAACAAATGCTGGCGGGGCTGGGGGGAAAGAGGAACCCTGCTCCACTGCTGGTGGGAGTGTAGACTGGTGCAACCACTGTGGAAATCAGTATGGAGATACCTCAAAGAACTAGGACTGGAAGTCCCATTTGACCCCGCTATTCCACTGCTGGGGATCTTCCCCAAAGAATTAAAAGAATCATACCACAGTGATATTTGTGCACCCATGTTCATAGCAGCACAGTTTGTAATAGCTAAAACTTGGAAACAGCCCAAATGCCCATCAACTGGAGACTGGATAAAGAAAATGTGGCTTTTTTTATAAAATGGAGTACTACTCAGCCATAAAAAATGAGATATTAGAGACATTTATAGCTAAGTGGATGCACATTGAGGCAATACTCTTAAGTGAAATAAATAGGACACACATGAATAAATACCAAATAGCTTCTCTGGTGTGAGAAACTGAAAGTGTAAATAAGGACTAAATGTATAATAGGTAATGTGAAATAGGAAGAAAAGGGGCAAAGGGGAAGGAAGTGGGAGGGCTAGGGGAAAGGATAGAAGGGAATGGGATTAATATGAGAAAATGGAAAAATAGGAACAAAATCTTTGTAAATAAGGAGGAATGGAGGGGTTGAAGGGAGGGCTGGGCAAGGGTGAAAAATAAGAACCAAGAGAGACTATGTAAAGGTGCAAATTTCCAATGATGAATGTCATTATATTGTATACCTAAAATGTACCATTGATTAGAATGAATAATCAATAATGCAAAATAGGAAGAAAAGGTCCAAAGTGGTAGGGGTAGTGGGAGGGGCAGGGGAAAGGAAAGAAGGGAAAGGAAAAATGATGAGAAATGGAAAAAATGGAAATAAAGTCTTTGTAAATAGGAAAGGGTGGAGGGGGTGAAGGGAGGGCTAGGAATGGGGAAAAAATAAGAACCAAGATGCATTATGTAAAGGTACAATTCCCAATGAGAAATGTAATTGTGTTGTATACCTACAATGTACCAATAAAAGAATTTAATACAAAAAATAAAAAATAAAAAATAAAAATCCTGTTTCCTGCTTCTGCCTTCTTAGCCAAGAGAAGCACAAGGATAATAACAGCAGCTAACTTTTATAAAGGCCTGACTATGTACACTGGCTAAATGCTTTATGCTCATTAATAAATACAAAGGAGGTACCATTGCTGTCTTCAAAATGAAACTAAAGCCTTGAAGGATTAGAAATCTTGTCTAAGATCTCACAGCTAATCAAAGGCAAAATCAGGATTCAAATTCAGGCTGAGTTCAGAGCCAAAACCTTCCATCTGTAAGGATTAAGAGCTTGGTTAAATCTAAGAAGCCACTGCACATTCCCAAATTTCGTACAGACACTCACCTGCCCCATCAGGAGTGATGGTTCCCAACTTCACAGCCAAAGGATAGCCCATGTCTCTATAATGCTCCAGCGCATGCCCATTACCCCCAGAGCTGTCAAAGAACCACTTTCCACACAGGATGGAGCCGTCGGTCAAATTCAACCAGAGGTTCTCCCGAAGGTCACACCTGGCACACTTCCAACCACTGGAAAGTCATTGGACAGCAGTCAGAACACCCCAAATAATTAACATCTGAGAAGACAGAGTGTCTCAAATTGCTCAGTCACAGGAAATGCTCAATAGAATACCAGACACTGGTGCTTCCCTACAGGCCCCTCAAGACAGTACTTTTGGGGGCTGGGGTGTAGCCAGTGGCAGAATACATGCTTAGCATGCACAAGACCCTGGGTTTGATTCCAGCACCCAAACAAAAAGACCCATTATCATTACCCCTCCCAGAGCAGCTGGACCACTCAGAACCCGGCCAGGGAACCAGCACCCAGATTGGATCGGCTCCTCCAGGTGTCTCTTGTGGCTCCTGTACTTTAGAAAACTGACACATGACATGGGGATAGGAGGGGAGCTCATTTCTTCTAAAGTCACAAATGAGGAACAGCGAAGTTTGAACAATTTTTAAATATTAAAGATCCTGCGTGAATATCTAAGAAAATGTGCAATTGATAATTCATTTTAAAAAGGTAGGAAAGCAATGCTCCTTTGGCCAGTTTTAGGAGCTAAAGTCCCATTTTGCTATTTGACTTTCACCTTGGAGGAATCCTGACTCCATTGTCCAGCTGGGTGAGGTTATTGGCATATTTAGATACTGGCAATTCATTTTCCCATGTGTCTGGGTCCTGCTTTCTGTATGGAGATTTCGAGCTGAGAACTGCATCACAAGCAATTGTTACCTACAAGATAAACCCAGATGTGACATATAAAAACAGTCTGAGAGAATAGCAACTTCTAGAAGATGAACTTAAAAGCCTGTTAATAAATATAGCTTACCTGAAGAAAACGCAAATATCACAACTGCCATAAGAGCAATACTCTGGCTTCCTGCACACTCCCTAGATCTAGCTAGGTTTTTGTCCCTGACCTGGAGTGTGGAGCATTGGCAATGGCACAGAATAGCAAGGAACCAAAATCAGTTTGTAGGCTCAAGCTTAGGTACCAGATTAAACCATTCCTACCACTTAGCAAGCAAGTGAAAAGTATGAGGTGAACAATTTACTAGGGTGAAAGTAGGTACAGGAATGCCCAGAATTTACCCAAGTGGTGTGTTTTCCTCCTAACAAATGTACACCCAGATATCTGATATGCTCAACTCATCACACAATGGCATGTAGTCAAGGCCACTCAAATGGAAGGTACACAGCACGGCTCCATTTTTTAATCTGGTGCAAATGTGACCCCGGATGGGGACATGCTTAGGTGTCTCCATGCCAGATCAGTCCTCATCATGAGCAAATATGTGATGTCCTTCTTGGCACCAACTGAGCAGGAAAGGAGGAAGACAGATTCTGTCTTCTTCCAAATCTAATGAATCCTGGCCATATGCTACTATCAAATTTGCTGCTTGCTTAAAGCTATCAGCTATTTCTAGCTGTTCTAGTCATTTTTATTCTGGTGGCAAGGTGAAATGGACAGCCACTTTGGAAAACAGTTTGGCGGTTCCCTAAATGATTAAAGAGAGTTACCATAAAACTCAGCAGTTCTATAGCAGTGGGGATATAGCCAAGAGAGAGGAAAATATGTGACCACACAAAAACTTATAAACCAATGTTCACAGTAGTATTTTGTAAGAAAATGGAAATGACTCAAATGCCTGTCAATGATGAATAGAATGTATAATAAAATGTAGTATGTTCATACAATGGAATATTATTCAGCAGTAAGAGGGATGAAATACTAACGTATGCCACATGGATAAATCTTGAAAATACATGCTAAATGAAAAGCAATCACAAAGTAACACATTTTATGACTCCATTTATATGAGATGTCCAGAACAAATAAATCTACAGACAGAAAGTACCTTAACAATTACCAGAGGCTAATGAGGAAGAGGAGGGGTTGCAGAATGATGGCTCAGGGATATGGGGTACTTTGTTGGGATAACAAAAATATTCTAAAATTAGATAGTGGTGATGGATGCCCAACTCTGAATATAATAAAAGCCACTGAACTGTTTTTAAAAATGCTTAAGACAAAAACAAAATTTGTACTCTACCTCACTAACATCCTGCACAATCAGCTGACCATTTTTCCCTGAGCGTTACCGACAACTAACCCTATACACAATTAACACATAATGGAAGAAGTTGCCTTAGTTTCCATGCCACCCCTCACCAAGCCCATGGGAAATTTCTACAAATCCTCCAACAAAAATATATCTGGAATCTGCCCCTCCTCCATTTCAGCCATGGTCCTAGCTGCCGTCATGGCTCACCCAGACGACACCCCGCAGCCTTAGTTTCCTTCCACCCTTGCCTTCTCTTCTCTGCCCAGAAGTCACAGTAATCTGCTGTAAAAATGAGGTCCTATCCTTCTGCAGCATAAACTCTCCATTATACATAGTGCTGATAATTGATGAGACTTGGCCAGGCACAGTCAGGAACAAGAAAGCTTAGAATCCATTATGTAGCATCCCTCATGGTGGGTAAGTATATAATTAGCCTTTCCTTTCAATTATCAAAATTCATCTCCCACCACCTTTCAGAGACAGCTGTAAAACTCAGGGCTGAACACTCCGCGAGCCCCTTCCAGATTTTACACGTCTGGGCCATGCTGTGGTAGCACTTCTGGCCACAGCATTCTAACCTTTAGTGTGGCCAATTATAACCTCTTTGTTAGTTTCACCAACTACCTGGAACATTTCTCTGCCCTCCTCTGGATTTTCTCCACCCCCATTAAGATTAGTTTTAGGTGTTCTTGGGTGTAATGCACAATGATTTTCAATGAGATTCAGATGCAATCTTGCATCTTTTCTTTTATTTATTTATTTTTTTTTTTTTTTTTGGTACCGGGGATCGAGCTCGGGACCTTGCGCTTGTGAGGCAGGCACTGGAACCACTGAGCTAAATCCCTGGCCCTCTTGTGTCTTTCTTTGAATTTCCTTCCTGCTGACATACAGCAAAATTTCCTGACATTTCTGGACTCCTAAAAAACACTGATCTATTGTTGAGAATATTACTGAAAATCACTTAAAGGTCTTTCTTATGGGTCCCAGCTAACACTCAGGCTCAACCTCCTATAATTATGCTGGGCATTATTCTCTCTTGGAGTTGTTACCTGGAGTGAAGTGAGGAAAGCATAGTTCAGTCCAAAGACTCTATAGGCCTGAAGTTTAGTGGTGCTGTGGTACTAGCTCAAGCTGGCTCATAAGAGTTGAATGTGAAATTGTAATAAATTTTGCACTCCAGTGTTGTAGCATGCTTGTCTATGGATGCTCACAATAGCCAAAGAATGGGAACACCTAAAGCGTCTGTCAACCCATGGTCAGATAAAGAAAATGCAACATACACATGGTAGAATATTATGATGCCATAAAAAGGACAAAACCCTGTCATTTTTGACAATATGGATGGAACTGGAGATCATTATGTTAAATGAGTTAAATCAGGCACAGAAAGACAAGTATAGTACTGCATGGTCTCATGCATGTGAAATCTAAAAATGTTGATCTCATAGAAGTTGAAAGTAAAATGGTCCTTACCAGGGACTAGGGAGGATATGAGGGCAGAGGGGAGGGGGAAACGTTATTTACTTTTTTCACATAAAGATTCCATCAAGCGTGAATGAGAGAAAAATAATTTCTCATGACATTTATGCATAATATGTTTCTTCTTTTCTGACAGCAGAAATAAGAGGTATGTCAAACAAAGGCAGTACAAACACAGTATTGCAGATACATAAGCTTTAGTATATAATTTCTGGGAATGGGATGAGGCAAGACCATTCTGCCCACTAATATATTTTTTCCTTGGTAACAGCCACACAAGCCAACACGGGGAATCTGAGAAAGCACAGGTAATTTAATTCTGAACACTGAGCACTTAGTAGGAGAAAAGATTGTTACTTTTAATAAGTGGAAGGTCAACAATAGATAAATACATGAAGTTCTCATTTCTGTGCTCTAATATGTATTTATAGAGTAGAGCTAGGGATTTAGCTCAGTGGTTCCGCCGTCTGCCTCGCAAGCACAAGGTCCTGAGTTCGATCCCCAGTACCGAAAAAAATAAAAAATAAAGTAGATCAGTAGGAAAGAGGTTAAATGGTAGAAGCCTTGTCCCTAGTAACGTGGAAACCCTATGCACAAATGTCCCATCTTGGTAGCAGCAAGTGAGCAGATGGAGAGTCGCATAATGTCCAGAAGACTTGGGGACTTAAAGACCTGGCTTTGGTTCTGGCAGTCTGAAGAAGGAAAAACTGAACTGGCATGTCTAACCTCAACCCACTCTGCCCTCTGTGACCAGGCTCCAAGTGGAAAAGAGGAAAAGAGAGGGGAGAGGGAAAAGGAAAGAAGATGAAGTGTTGGAAGCAATACAGGAAATGAGGAAAGAGCGGGAAAAACATTTAGGGGCCCCACGGATATTCTGTGCCCACTTACAGGGTTTGAGAATTAAAGAAAAACAACCTTTCCTCCCTTGTCACCACCACCCCTAGCTCTAAGCAGTTCAGGAAAATTAAGATCTCTCCATAAAACTGGATTGGAAAGAAAAGGGGGCCGGGGATTTAGCTCAGTGGCTTCACTGCCTGCTGTGCAAGC